GTTTTTGTTAAATACTTGTGTCAGCAGGCCTGTTTCATGTTTGGCATCAGCTGTAATTCAATGAAGATATTCCAAAAATAGAAAGTAATGTTTCTGCAAGAAGCCATTATTTTTAGTATCCATTAATCTATCTAGTCTGTAAGATGACGCTGTGATGGAAAATTCCCATCAGATGTTACCAGAATCCAAACTGATGTCTTTATAATTGTTTATGTTGTAAATCAAACTGTGTTTAATATATATTAATATCAAACAGCGATAAACCTTTAATAGTCTTTGCACTACTTAAGCAAATTTTTGGTATTTTTACCTAATAAATGACTGAGAAGATAAATAGATTAGCAGGATTGTCTTTGATTACATTTCTGCTGATAGATTAGGCAGTTAATCATCTAATTGCTGCAGAAGCAGAGTGATTAAAAACCAGAATAGATACCATAAGTTTGTTTTTTGTTTTTGCTCTAAAAGTAACACATGGTTGTATCTGTCAAATTGGTCATATGTTTATGCATCTCAATTTAAAACAGAATGGATTTGTTGTGTTAAGTGTGTTTGTAGTAGATGGAAAATTATTGTAATTATTAGTGGATTAATAACAGGTTTCATGCACTGAAACTAGTTTCCTCGTGGCTTCAGTCCTTGAACACTCAGCAGTTCTCGAAACGTTCATTTTTCCTCCCAGAGGAGAGGTAACCCCCCACTCTCAGTTTCTGTGTCTCTCTGTTTAAACCACGTCACTGACTGACTGGCGAGCTTGCTTGGTGAGATTCCTTTGGTTTCCCTCGGTGAAAACCTGCCCCAACACTCAACCAGGCTGCCTGAGGAATGGAGCAGCAGCAGCAGTGGAGGGTGAGGGTGAGGGTGGGGTGAGGAGCCAGCGCTGCCTGCGTAAGCCAACAATGGGCCCAGACAGCTAACTGGTTTGGGGAGATCCAGTGACCTCAGTCACTGTGTTGACACATTTAAGGCAGCCTCAGGTGTGGGTATATTATAGGTACGTGTAACACGGACAAGCTTATGTTTAAGTAGCTTTTTTTGTTGTTGTTTTTGAGTAACTCAGCAACATGTTGTCTATTGGAGTCATATAAGAAACAACTTTTTACAGAAATGAAAATGAGAAAAACAGCTTCATCATATAGTAGCACTCTGGGTGTAACTGTTTGTTTTTGGTTCAGTTATTAATTGTGGAAATAGTTACGATCAATGTAGGGATACACCGATAATGAAATGGCTCATAGCTGATACTGATGTTGTTGTTGTTGTTGTTGTTGTTGTTGTTATTTATACCCCCTTTTATGCCAAGGAAACAAAGAAATCTTTTTTCTTTATTAGTTATTCAGTCCTTCATTACACTACCTTTGAATGAGCACAAATTCAATCATACAAATTTATGAAATGACCTTTAAAATAACCTTTCACATGCAAACATTTAGAAAAAATATATCAACACATTTCTCCATCAAATGGCTGCATTTATTCAAGATTCCCCCAAAAACTACATTTTACAAAATTACATTTGTGCACGTAAAGTTCATTTACTTTCGCCCAATACTCATTTCTACCGAATGGAGCTTGAGGGCATCATAATGTTACTCAATGCAACCTACATCAGCAGTTATTTCCAGATGCTAGCTGCTAACAGCTAATGTTAACTAGCTCTCCTCTTGCTGATGTCAACACAGATTTGTTATTCACCATGTAGTATTATCAAGGAAACAACAGGGTGTGTCCCCAGACACATTAATAGTGAGTTTACTGTGTCCTTTCATCCTTGTCAGGGTCCCAGGAAAGATCTCTGTTCATCCCAAACACATTTTCTGTTGTTCCTGGGACACCATTAGTTTTGAGTCTTGCTTTTTAGCCTGTGCAAAATTGATGTAAAACAACAGAAAAACATTGGTTACTGCCATCAATGAAGGTCATCTTATTCACAGATAGGCCGTAAGGTGAATATTGGCCCATACCGATGTGCGTCCAATGAATCAGTGCATCCCTAGATCATTGTTCTCTGAAAGGTACAAAAAACGTAGCATTTGTTTTTTGTATTAGGACTTATAAATCTCTGAAACAGCAAATTTGAGAAAGTACCTCTCTGATATCAGTTTTAGGGCTTGGCAAGATGAAGAAAAAAAAGAAATATAAATATTTTTGCCCCAAAACCTCTATTGATAATGTGACAGTATTGTAGGACTGACTACCTGTGCTTTTGTAAAATATTTACATAATGAGATTTTTGAAAAATTGTCATCACTAATTTGGTATCATGACTTAGTGGGCAAAGGCAAGTAATAGAGCCATCTTGCAAATTCAGAAAATGACATCACTTTACTGAAATGCAGCCTTTAAAACCAGAAAAAGGCGACACTTATGATATAACAATATCCAAAATCTTAGAAGATATTTATTCTCATATTACAGTGTCTGTTGTCCAGGCCAATCAGGTTAAACGACAAATCAGGCTGGGTTTCTTTCAAAATTAGACTTTTTATTTGTACCAAACTCCCTCTTTTTGTTATTGGGAAGTTAACACTGTCCATGGTAGCATAAAGGTGGAATTTCACACTGAAAATACTGTAAATTTTGCAGGGCTGTCCCAAATATCAGTTTTTGGGCTTCGAAGCTTCACTGAGAATTTTCGTGATTAATCAGAGCTTTGAATCAGTTTTCAGTTGATGTACCTACCTGTTGGCATGCAGATCATAGTAACATTAGCCATAAATAAAAGCTAGAAAAAGATGCCTTGCAAGACAGTTTTTAGGGTGATTTTTCAAGCTCATAGATTTGTAATATACCAATTTCCTTTGGCTGATCTGACAGCACACTTTTATTGTGTTTTATTATATCTATTGACAGTCAGTAGTAATAGTAACAGTCAATTGTAAGCAGTTTCCTCTGCTTACAGTCAAGTCAGTTTTTTTACAGCCTAATATCACAAATCACTAATTTGCCTCAAGGGGCTTTACAATCTGTACAGCATACGACACCCTCTGTCCCTCGACTCTTAATTCAGATCAGGAGAAACTCCCCTTTAAAAACCTTTTTAAGGGAAAAAATGCGAGAAACCTCAGAAAGAGTGACAGAGGAGGGATCCCTCTTCCAGGATGGACAGACAGGAAATAGATGTTGTGTGTACTGAAAACACCAACATGGTGAAATTACAGTACAATCAGGATCGAAGTTCAGTATGCGAGACCTGCATTGTCAGATTCATCCACTCAGGAAAGCCTTTCTGAAAAGCTCTGCCAATGCAAAGCACAAACCCCACCTACACACACTCCATCCAGGCAGCTATCACACCAAAGTCAGTAGGTCATCTTTTGGGGTTCATGAATTTCTGCACCAAATTTCACAGCAATACATCCAGTAGTTATTAAGAAAGTTGCCATCCTGAAGTCTCGCTGCCAGTGTGGCTACAAATGGGTTTAAAGCACCTTTACTTTCTCTCAACGCTCGCTGTCGAAATGCTCATCTTCTCTCCACACTTGCCATGTTCCCAGGAGCTGCTTCAGCAACTGCTTCCTTCTCCCAAGAATTTCCTTTCTTGAGAGCACAAACATTTGTTTCCACTGTGAAGCAGCAGAATGAAACGTGTTGGCATCCATCCTCATCATCTTGTTTTCTCTTTAACGTAGTGTTCATGTGAGCAGATGCAACTGCAGCTAATCCCGGTGACCTCATGTTCTTTTTACCTGTTCAGGGCTCGCCCTACATATAGGTGGAATGAGTTTATTCACTATAAGCCTCATGATGACTTTGTGAAAATGAATACAACACTACATATAAGATTTATTTAAGAATATCTAACATCAAGACAGAGGATTGTGTTATTCGTGGTGGTAACTGTAGGGTGATCTTTTTTGTGTAACACTTAATGAACTATTCTGACATCTACAGTTGTCTATCAGATCTTTTTCTCTCCTCTGAGTCATGTTTCATATATTCCTGCCACAAATCATGTGAATCACCCTGGGCACCGTGACAGCCAGTCTAACAGACAGAGGGATAGACTTGTATTGTGTGTGTCTTGCCACAGAAAGCACTTTAATATTATGCTCTACACAATAAAGCACTTTCACTCTGCCTCTGTAATACAGTGGCTTGTGTCCTTTAGTCCTTGTTACTGGAGACATTAATGAAGTAGTTCACTACAGCAGACTGAGCTCTCCTCTGGCTAAAAAAAACAACCCAAACAAGGTTTGGTTGGTTAAATTCAAAGGTAGTGAATAGAGGCACCGCTCAACAGCAAGGTAAATTGCTGACTTAAATTTTGCAAAGCTTAGCATGTGATTAAGTACAACTTATTTTTCCTGGCAATGTGCTGTTTTTGACATTAAAAGGTTTGTGTCTCTTTCCTGCTTTTTTGTGTCTCTGCTTACACCTCAGCACAGCTCAGTCGGACAGTTGTCATTCATCAGGTTTCCATCCAAATGCAGAGCAAATTTGAACCAAATCCTCAGAAAAATTGTCAGAAGAAAATGCAAAATTATGTGTGTCTCCGTCCTCTACTATTGTGCAGATATTGGGAGTTGATTCATTGAGCTAAACAAAAGGTGTTCGTGTACGTCACAGTAAATTCTTAAAGTCGGTTTTCATTGCACTTCTCACATTTTGCTTTTAGGCTACCCATGCCAGTGTCACCAAGCTGCAGCTGTGGAGAACCACTTTAGAAGTATTTTCCCAAAACCAAAGATGTTCCCTGTGGGGACAACATTTCACACTGTGGGCATTTTTCCAAGCAGTTGTTTTATTATTGGAACAGCTCTACATGAAATATTTTAAGTTTGCAGTTTTCATTGTATCCTGGAAAAAAAATATTGCCTGACACTGCAACTGCACGTCATAATTCATCTCCAGCTTCTTCACTAGTGACAAACTTTTTCCACTTGACTTCCAAAGTCAGTGGATGAGTCCAGAGCAGCCATCCAGTTATCAGTGTTGCAGTATTTGAATGATCATTTGAATGGCTATTTTTCACATGAAACACGTCTGTTGTTTTTCAGGAGTCAGCGCGTGTCGTCGTGCCAGCTGAGACGGTGAAGTCACCGGTTCTTACCCCCGCCACACAGAGAGGTGCCAACAGAGGGACAGGATGCCGATTCCTCCCCCTCCCCCTCCTCCCCCAGGACCCCCGCCTCCCCCCACTTTCAGTCAGGTCAGTGACTGGACTGAACACACACAGCACATCACACTACAAAGATTCAACATCGGTCAGCCACAGAAACTGAGATTACACAGTTCAGTGCAGCAGAATTAATCTACAGGACAATTTATCCAGAACAGTTTACTGTAAATTTACTGCTAACACCTGCATAACATCCAGGCTCCCACAGTCATGAAATTACTGGAAAAAATATGAAATTAGAAAAACTATTATTAACAGAATGTTTTGGAAAAGTTTTGAATAAACATTGTTTTGGATATTATTTAAAATATTTACGTAAATCCCAAAACATTTCTAACGTTATGCAAAATATGTTTCTTGGATTACTAATTTCAAATCTAGTGCTGCACTGTGTCACTTGTATTACATGATACACATGGACGTATGCAGCTAGTTGATGTTGGGAATGTCTAGTTAGCGAGTAAAGTTAGCAAATGCTAGCAGTTTGCTAATCTGCAAATTACTGGAAAGTGTATGTTTAGTAATGTATGGATTTTGAAAGACAAATACATGACTCGAGAGGCAGACCCGAGCTGCGCTGCATGTAGGCTCTGCACCAAAACGTTTGACATGGCAACACAGGGGAAGCAGCTCTGGTCAGCCATGCTAAAAGGAAAAGCCAAACGGCAGCTCAACAGACTGCCAGTGTTTAGGGATGTTTCACGTCTGTTGCAGTCAGGCCAGATAATTTTACAGCTTCTTCTACTGCTTAAATAAAGTCATGGAAATGAGGTAAAATATTATGAAAATGTTTTGAAAATAAAATAAAAAAACAAATGCGTGGGAAGCCTGTAATATGCACCGTTTCTGTACTAGAGGTGAGACTCTTTAGGCACCTCATGATTTGATTCAGAGAGCTATGATGCAATTATTAAAAGATTAGGCCTGGTCATAATGTATCCATCTACGGTTACTCACGCTCAGCCAACTTCACCAGTACTCAAGAAATAGCCGAGCTTAGAATGTAAACATGACGCCTATATTTTTGTCAGGTACGTTTCACCGTCCAGTTGATTCAGCTGTAAGGAATGTACCAGTGTTAGGGTGCTTTCACACCTGCCCTGTTTGGTTAGGTTCAGTCAAACCCAAGTTCATTTGCCCCACTCAGTGTGGTTCGTTTGGGCAGGTGTGAACACAGCAATCGCACTCAGGTGTGCACCAAAACAACCAGACAGAGACCCTCTTGGTCTAGTTACAAATGAACTGTGTCGCATTTATCTTGGAAATGTACTCTACTTAAATGTTTTGTTTACTTCCTGGAAATTCTGACCAATCAAGAGCAGCTTTCTCGTGCAAGGCATTTTATCTGGTCCACTTGTAAATGCTGCTGTGAGAACACAAACCAGCTCTAGGCAGTTATACAAATTTGAAACAAAATAAGTCCCTGATTCGGCCCACAGCAAGACAACTCTAGGTCTGAGAGCACCCTTACAGAATTGTTGCAGGCGATCATAATATTGGGAATAAAGTTTTAGATTTCTGATGAATGACTCTTCTGCATTGACACATAAATTCTCCTGCATCCCTAGTTGGTACATAGACCTCTGTTTTGCATGTGACAAATAAAGAACATAAAGGACTTAAACTTAATCCTGACTTGCACTCATGCTACTTCAAACTTTAAAGTCATAATGGTAGTTTAGCCAGTTCTTTGTGTTTCCTTTTATCCCGTCATACTTCTTCAGCATCTGTAGAATATTACAGGTGAGCAGGTTCCTCCTCTTTGACTCAGTCTTGAAGAAGAAGACTTGGTTATAATAATGATAGTGAATTAGTTTTGGCTAGCTTGGTCTAAGGAGTATTAACACACTGTAGAAGCACTTCAACAGGACTATAGGGGACAGTAGTTTGATTTGTTTAGCCAGTAGGAGAAGTTTAATATTTCCTCAAAGACATCTGTAGTAAAGTTACTTAAAGGATAAAAATAAGAAACCTACAATCTAGGCTGATGATTAACTTCCTCTGTTTGTGTTCTTACCTGGCATGAACATCAAATAAAGGTTAATTATACCAAATAAACAGTTTCTGGGACTTGAGTCAAAATCTCCAAGCAAGCAGGATGTCAAATAACCAAACTGTCCAGTAAACCAGCTCCTGAGTCATGTGACGTTTGTTTACGAGCTGTGGCTCCGTTTTAAAATGTGCCGTGTGAACCCAAACAAACGGTTCAGACCAGAGGAACTGGGGATGTGATTGTACTTGTGAACTTCCTCCACAGGCGAACACAACTCCTCCTAAACTGAGCTCATCCGAGGCTAAAGGCAGAGGAGCGCTGCTGTCGGACATCTGCAAAGGCACCAGACTAAAGAAGGTCACTGTAATCAATGACCGGAGTGGCCCGATCATAGAAAGTGAGTCACTGCAAGTTCATTTCACACACACATGCACAAACACAAACTGATGTGTGTGTAACAGAAATGTGACGACAGACTGTTTTACTATTTGCATGGAAAGGAGGAGCTATCATAACGATATAAGTAGTAACTTTTATTTATACTGAACTTTTCAAAACAAAGCTACAAAGCGCTTTACATGATTGAGCCAGGTTTCAAATATTTCAGGCCTGCAATGATGCGCTTTGAATGCGTGAATATTTTGGATTTTAAACCCTGAATACAATGAAATACAATAATCCAACCAGGATGAGAATAAAGCGTGAATGGATCTCTTTGACATGGAGTCGACAGAGAATAGACCTGAGTTTTCGAGAATTTTCTCAGCTGATAAAACATTACTGAATGACTCATTTATCACTGTCAGATATTACACCCACGTTTGAGAACAGGGAGCTGAAATGTTTTGGTAAAATTGGGATATTTGAGGATCAAAAGTGATTTCAGATTCTGTTTTCATTTGGCTGCACTTTGGTTCTGACAGACAAGATAATGACTGATACAATGGGACACAAATTAAATTTGCATGTCGTGTATGAAAATGGAGCTGAAGTCTTTGTGTGTTTGTGTAATTAACTCATTGGACACACTACTTTTCAAGCTATGAGTCGACACGTTTCTGACTTGATAAAGTTTTTAACTCAAGTTGTAGCTGATAAAAGGAGCTGATTTAAAAAAATGTTGTAGCTCTTCTCTGCACACTCATTACTGATGTTAAATAACTTCTATCTTTAAATATTTGAATATTAAAATGTATTTCTATTTCTGCTTTCAAATTTGTTTATATTGACGTGGCTTTCATCTATTCACCAGAATCAGGAGGTGGTGGCGGAGGTGGCGGAGGCGGAGGAGGTGGTGGAGGTGGTGGAGGTTTTGGAGGCGGAGGGCCAATGGGAATGGGAGGTCTTTTCCAAGGAGGTGTGCCAAAATTACGCCCAGTTGGAGGTAAAAAAAAAAACAAACATTATTTCTGATGAGATTATTTCTATTTGAAAGTGTTTTCTGATGTTTTCTGTAAAGCCTTCACCATCTTGGTCACAGTGCTCTTATCATTTGTGTAAATAAATCAACGTCCACCTCTGAAGGGAGTGGGCTAACATATCCGCTCGTCAGTAGTTTAATCAGAGACAACAGTCTGCCTGCACAAACACCAGATAAACTGATAAAGGAGAAGAAAACTCTTTCTGCATTTCCCAGCAGTCTGCTCCTCCACGATCATTTTGTGGTTACAGAAATAAACAATTCACACAGAACGTTTTAAAGACCACAAGCCATGGAAGTCCACAGTATATGAATCAGCAGAGAATATCTGGACGTGAACATGGTTATTTTAGGCTTAATGGACCTTTCTCCCACTTATCTCTGATGGAGCAGACGTAGTTGTGGTCGGAGCTGAACCAGTGAGGAGCAAGGGATATGAATTATGAATGAACCGATGCTTATTTTAGAGATATCAAATATTTAGTTAGACAGAGCCGCTGTGACCTATGACCTCCTTACTACAGCGGAAAGAAGGAATTGATGATGAAGTAATACATAGAATATTGATTCTGTGATTTTAAAAATACTTTTATGAGTCAGTTATTGTGGGTGTAGAATTCAGAAATCAGAAGTTTTGCCATGCTGTCTCTATGAAGACCACTTTAATAACTTTAATTATAACAGTATATTTAGACCATTATGGGCTTATTACTGATAGTCAATCAGTTTTATGGAAATGTAGAGTTTTTATATGATTTTTGCAGTAATATGCAGATGTATATTGATTTGTCAGGCATTTAATTTGTTACATTATACAAGAACAAACACATTCTTGTCTGGTTATGAATTTTTAAAAGTAGTATATCACAACATTTATTGATAATTGCAAGATAATTAATTGTTTTAGCTCTTACAAGCCCAACATCAGTCAATTAATCAAATAGTCAATTGACAGAAAATGAATAAGTCTTTTTTGATAATTGATTAATCATTTAAGTCATTTACTGAAAATAAAAATGCCCCAAGTTCTATGCTCCAGCTTGTTATGGTGTGTTCACACTGAACGCGAAGCAAATTTTTGTGTTGTGTTTGTCATGCGTATACGGCTGTTGGTGTTTTTTGCAATTGATAAATACTCTCTATTAACAGCTGTGCTAATGGTCGTGCTAATTAGATTAGGAAGGTAGCTAACAGCTAGCTCAATTTGCAGTAAAGTTTAATTGATAGCTGGAATCAAGTTACGTGAACACGGAGGCTCAGTGTGAATCAGCAACACTTGATATTATTTTACATATTGTCACTGCAAGACATCACTGCTTCACTGTTTCTGTTGTTTACTTTCCACAGTTAAAGACCATCTAAAATTACCCAGAGCATTTTGCTAAGAAGAAAAATCAACAAAACTGCTTACACAAGTCACAAATACATACTTACCGTGTAGTCATAAGTAGTCACCCTCTCCTTGTATGTTCTGTCTGTGTGCAGGACTGACGTTGAGTGGTAGAGCTCCATGTACACATGCACAGTGTTTGTCTTCCATTTCTGATTATCAGTAATATCAGAAGAATCTTCACTAGATTCTAATGCTGATAAGCCAGTGTTTCCTATAGAATTATAATTTTTATTTTTATTTTTTTTCGCTTGCCCCTTTCTAAATTTGAAAGGTTTTGCAGGTCCATGAACGCAGCAAATGTGGAACTCTTTTTTTTTCCTCCAGCAGCAGTTTGTGGAGTTTTGAGTTGTGAATTCATCAGTCAATCCATTCAGAGCTGATCAGATCAGATCGATGGATGAGATGAGTTGCTGTTTCTGAGTGAAAGCAAACTTTTAGACCCAGTGCACTGAAGGTTAAGGTCCACGGTCACTGCACCTGCTGTTCTGCAGCTACATCAGTGGAGAAATAATAACAGAACATCTCTCTTAATGAATGGTCCAGCTCTAAAAATAGACAATCAAAACATGGCGGCAGACGTTTTAATTGTGGCAGCCCACCACAAGTAAATTAACGTGTAGGAAACCCTGTAGGCTTTCGCAACACAACGTCACAAATTTCTCGCTCAAGTTGAAAATTTTCAGCTCGCGCAATGATATGAAGAGCATGAATTGTGTATATTTCGTGTCATTTACATCACATAATTTGTGTCGCATCGCCCGCTGCAAATTTGTGTCTATTTGCATCGTTGCTTTGACTTTGCATAGAATCTCACTGGGCATAATGCTTGTCTCCCGTTCAGTTTAAACACACCGATTAATGTGGGAGCACTTTTCCTTTGTTGTATGTGATTGTTAAAGGGAATATTTTGGGGTTTGGGCTGCTGGTTAAAGACGTCACCCTCATCTTAAGGAAATTTTGATTGGTTCATTTTCACCTTTCTCTAACATTTTATAGAACAAACAATTAATTGATTAATCAAGAAAATAATCAGCAGATTAATCGATAATGAAAATAATGATAAGTTGCAGCCATGAATCATTTTGCTTCGTCCTGATGAGCATTATTTTTACCTGTAAGTGTGTCTGACATGTTTTCTGTTCCTGCGGTGAAGTCCCTAAACACCATCTCTCTGTCCTTAGATGGTTCAGCGGGCGGTTCGGTGGGGAGATCAGCCCTGCGGCCCCCAGGGGCCCGGCCTTCAGCCCCTCGCCCCCCCACAGGTCGCTCCTCCTCACCCTCCCCAGCCAACAAGCCCTCTCCACCAGAGCACCAGCGCGCCCACCGCCCCTCGCTCCCAGACATCTCCCGCCCCTCCAGTGGCAGCAGCAGCTCCTCCTCAGGAAGCGGGATGAAGCACAGCACATCTGCACCGCCTCCTCCACCACCCTTCAACAGAGGAGGCCGCGGCAATGCTCCGCCTACCCCCAATCAGAAATCAAATACTTCGTCTTCCTCATCCTCCTCTCACAGCAGAGAGAAGCCCCTGCCACCGACACCCAACAGAGGCCCCACCCCTCCCAGCTCTGTGAAGCAGCCTCCGTCTTCCAGCAGGCCACCAACAGGTGGCTCCTCAGCTCCTCCACCTCCTCCACCGTACAGACCACACACAGGCGGCGTCTCCAATGGGCCGTCCCACGTAGATGGCGGCGGAGCTCCGGAGCTGCCACAGAGGCACAACTCCCTGCACAAAAAACACACATCAGGAGGTGGCAGCCAAGGACGCAACCACGCTCCTCCACCTCCTCCCTCATCGTCTCCATCTTCCCAGCAGGGCGGCCGACCACCACCACCCGCCAGAGAGCCACCTGGACGCAGATCAGGTACAGCCACCTGCACTGAAATCACACTCAACTGTCAGTATTCACGTCTTCTCAAGGTCAGAGGTCACAAGTCGCACTGCAGCTGCACCTGTGTCCGTCAATGCCAATAAAACATAAACCATTCGAGATCATTAGACTGTTTGTCTGCAAATTATAAAGTGATGAAGTGACATTTTTCATGTACTATAAAAGGCAGTTTTAAAGGAAAAGTAAGTCTACAAACACAATTCTGCTGCACAAAATCAAATGATGTACCTCATTTTACTGGGGCTGTTTTTTGTATTTTGTTGTTAGACTAGATATTGATTTATTTCCAGTGGGGATGTCCCAATCTGATCTCAAAGATTGGGATCAGGGTCTATCAAGGCATTTTTTTTAACTGATTTGAAACAAGTTTATTGAGCTCTACAGAACAGTCGAACCTTTTAAACATGAGCTGTCACAGTTGTTTTTACTCATGAAGCTTTCATGCAGAGACTCGCAGAGTGCAGCCATCTTGAACTCTGCTCTTCTTTTCTCTTCCATTCAGCTGAGCTCTTGTGTGTATTTAAGAGCAGAGGCTGAGCCCTGCCCGCGGCAAAACACAACACGCCATCACCGACAGCAGAAATGCAGTATGAGACTGTTTATTTAAGTTTTTAATAAAAATTATGAGCACAAATTGATTTCAGCTTTGATTTCAGGTAACTCAGGCAAAGGCTGCACCGAAGCAACAAACACTGGAGAATAGTCTCTTAAAGGGACAGAGGCATTCCCTCAAGACCAAAAAGATTAAAGGGAGAATTTTTTATTTTAGACCTATTTTAATAAAAAGATAATAATAATAATAATTAACATGAAGGAACAGCTTGTATGCAGGTGTTTTTTTTATTAATGCCTTGCAGAGCTTTTCAGTTGTCAAGCATTTACATTTGATTTATTTTAATAACTTAAATGTAGATGAAGTGTGCACTGTGCAGCTGTATTATCTAAGAATATAGAAGTATTAGATCAGGACTCGGTATCAGCAGATACTCTATTAAATGACTCAGATCTGGACAGGACATTCTTAATTTCCAATATCCAGGTCGACCTGGCAGAAACTGAGACCTAAATGAGGTCCAAATTATCACCAGAATAATAAGGTCAGACTGGAGAAAATTGTATCTTTGAGAGAAAGTTCAGCGACTCAGAGTTGCACCTATTTTGATTATTAATTTAACTCAAAGATGGACGGTTATTTATTTAGTCTCTGTCCTTTCATCTCCAGCTGTCTCTCTTCCGATGACGCTCTTATAAAAAGGCACAACAAATTATTTAAAAATGTAATTTCATGTTGTCTGACTACTCAGTCATTTGACCAATCATTTCAGCACGGTGTTTCACTGTATATGTATATATACGTGTTAAGGATGTCACTGTGTTCAGAATTTGAACCATATCGGGGATGAAGCCAACATCTCAGCTGGAGGAATGTTCATCCAGAGGCCAAAGCAAGTTTAGACTCGTTATCTCTGATCCTTTATTGTGCAACACAGCCTTAAAGCAGAAAACATTTCCTCCACATGATCACACCTACTGCAGGTCAGTTCTGAAAGTGGAGCAGAGGGCAGAGACATGATGTGTTTGGCTCTGCTTAACATATAAACGCCCCTTTTCTGAAGCCAGGTGTCTGCACAGATACTCAGCGTACTGTAGTTTAATATTTCCTATTATATCCACAGCTGCCTGTGTGTTTGGGGACTTTTTTCCACATTGGATGGACCGGAGTGAAATTCAGTGAATATGTTTTGGCTTAATTGTGTAGATGTTATGTGGATATTTACACATATTAGATGCCTCCTTTTTGTTCAAGTGTGTCAGCCCAGAGGTAGCTATATGTGTGTGTTGATGTATAAGGTGATGTTTAAGGATTTAAGACGCTGTCACCTACAAAACATTTTAGTTTTATAGAATTAATCCTTTTATATCTTACAGAAATTAACAGATAAACTCTCAGGTGATGATTTTGGATCCTCCTCTGGGCAAATTTACAGCTCACTGGAAAACATATATTCATAATTTAATGTCAGAGTGAACACACAAAACAGGAAGGCACTTGTTAGCTGCAGCTCTGTGTTGTGATTGGATGGCAGAGCGATTCGCCACGAGGCCTCCTGGTTTCTCTGCATTCCTGAAGCCCTGTGGAATATTCCAGCATTCCTCTTTACTTTCACTCTCTCTGCTGCTTTTCCCCGACTTAAATATTAACATGCCTTCTGTTTTCTGTCATCGTCCCTGTTCATGTGCTCCTCATTGTGCTGTTCTTTTTTGAATTTTCTAACATATAAAAATAGACATAAAAGAGCTACATTATGCGTTACTGGTGTTGCACAGTGGCTGCAGGGTCTCAACTGGAAATAATGTCTCAAGCCACAATTTATAACCTCCAGTCAGCAGTTACTGGTCCATATAAAATGTAACTGGTCATTGTTGGTGTTTTGCTTTATTGCTGTTTGAAGTGCCACAGTGTGACGCTTTGTCACTGAGATGTGTCATAATATAAAACAACAAATCACAGTTTGACATTTTTACACGGTTCATTGTTATTTTACAGCACAGAGTTGCACCATGACAGGCACTGTGAAGCACCTTCATGCTACATATGTTCAACATACATTATATACAAATATGTGGACTAGAATAGAATAAGATAAAATGAAATGATATATATATATACCCTTACTTACATACAAATCCTTATATGCATGTATACCCAGAGTGACTTTGGTTTATATTGGGAATTAGGGTCATGTAAAAGATAAATTGATACTAACAATAATAGTAACAATCGTGCAGAAGCCCTTTTTGAACACGATGTCATGTCAGATCATCTTCAGTATGAGATTCATGGCAAGATGTCATGATACTGTACTGTATGTTGCACATCATGCTTTATGGCTACAGTTACAGGGTAACAGCTACTCTTCTCACCTAGAGAGTGACCTCTAACACGTCATCCTGACCATTTGTGTGTGTATGTTGTCCACACAGCTCCTCAGGTGCCCCCATCCGGGTCTCGTAACGGCGGTCGGGACGCCCCTCCTCCCCCGCCCCCATACCGTGTCCACAGCTCTGCGCTCTCAGAGCCCCACAGCCGAGTGGGTAAACCACCTCCACCTCCCTCCTCTTCCTCCTCCATCTCATCCTCCTCCTCCCGAACCCCGGCTGGACCCCCTCCACCGCCCCCGCCCATCCGGAACGGCCACTCCTCCATTTCCTCCTCCAAGTCCATCATAGGTGAGTCAGGTGCCATCACACTCCTCTTCCCTATTCATGATGTCACCATTGACAGCTGCTGAAAGATCTGTGTGTTTACTTTCTCGCAGACAGACAGCAGCCCCTTGCTTTTAGGACATGGTGTTAGACCTGTGGACCCCAGGCTGGGGTCATGGGGTTATTTTTTTTATTTTTTACTCTAGAAAGCTCCTCCTGAACCTCAGAGGACATTATACAGCTGCTTTCTCTCTGTGTCGTAGTCCTGAACTGAACTTTAAGTGTAAAATCATTGTAGTGATGCTTTCATACAACCAGACTTTTTTCCACCCCGGAGCACTTTGCACGTGCCACGACTAAAAAATCTGGCAGAACGAGATTTCAGATGTGAAGAGACGAAGGGAAAATAAAACAACCCTCTTTAAATTAAGGGTTTGGACCGGCTGCTGTTTTCAGCATGAAGTGAGACGCTGCGACTCCTACAAATCACTCTCTTGTCTTTTTAAATCTACCAGTAATTCTTAACTAGTATCTCGTACTCTCTTATCTTTGTAGTATTATTCTCTTATATCCTTCAGCTGTGTGTTTCATCATCAGTCAGAGTAGCTGTTAACATGGGTTGTGTTTCTGATCTGGGTGTAATGGAGGTGACGGTGGTGACTGAGCATCGATAGTCAAATATTCCACTGCAGCCATGCAAACGAGCCCTTTTCATTGTTTCCTGTTGAACAAATCAGGAAGGGAATGGTTCCTAGATTACTGTCTGAGGTTCATGTACACACAGAAAACACACTTATACAAGGCTTTCACAATATTAAGATAGTGATGTGTTGTTTGTTTTTATTTCAACACATTGAATGTTAGTGAAAGGAACTTTTTGTGATATTAAATTGCCAATTTTCAGCTTTAAATATGTTTAAGGTTGCTCACCCTCACACAGTGTACAGTGTGGGACTTGTGCCCCAACTGTTTTGGACAGTATGGCCGTATAATAATGTAAATAGACAGACATGGTAACCCTGAACAGTCGATCGCCTGACTAAGGCCCTGATCTTGCAGAAAGTGTTTTAGAAGCTGGAGGCGCCTTTTTGTAACTGTTTTTAATGAGAATGAAGCTTTTTGCTCACGTTTTTTACACTGCGATGCACCTTGCCTTTCTGCGCTCTTAGTCGCATGGCATTTTTTCTCAAACTCAAACTTGAAAACTTCAACTCAAAGGGGAAAAACGCCCCACGTCATCTCTTTTTTTTTGTCCAATCTGATTATTTGAGAGGCGGGCCTTCTGTGGTGGTCACGACAACAAGTTTACAGTTGGTAAAAAATGGAGGAGAAACTGGTGGTAGCAGTTGCTGGATACCCAGAGCTATACAGCCCGACGATAGACAGCAGGTTGTCAAACTGCCTCTGAGTCATCCTAAAACATGCCTGTAAACGTCGATCATGGAGGAGAAGCTCCTGGACCAACTGGTGGTACTCCCCATGATCCAGCCTCTTTTTTAGGGTCTCATGTACCCACACAGATCTCTGTTTATCTGCTGACAGCCTCTCACCCTCAACCAGAGCTACAGACAGTACCCTCTGCCTCAACATGTCAGCAACTAGATACTGATTACTGACAAATAACAGTAATCAGTATTTTAGGAACTTAGAATTGCAACAAAATTAGTGATACAGTTTTACAGTTTGATTCAAATATTCAGTAAAAATTAAAATGATCTCTCATTTCTTTAATTTGTGAACAACAACTTTAACTATTAATAGTTCAACTAAATAAAATCTACCACTAATTACTAGGGCCGTAACGGTACGTGTATTTGTGTTGAACCGTTCAGTACGCGACTTTCGGTTCGGCACGACCCTGTACCGAATTATTGGCCGCAGGATATTATTTTATTTTATTTTGTTTTATTTTAATTCCGTTTTTGCGAGCCGAACCATTTAAAATATCTAGTTCCCTGACGGACATAATTGAGTGACGGACCGAGTCCGACCGTAAATCTCTGCCTTCACTTTGTGCAGCGCATTCTCGCATTTTGACAACATGGCAAGTGAGCCTGACGAACCTGAAAACACACCTGCAAACCTTAAGTCCTCCGTTTGGGAACACTTTGGTTTCAGGGTAGAATACAAAGATGGAAATAAACAAGTGGACAAGACAAAAGCAGTGTGCCGACACTGCAGAACAGCGGTCGGATATGTACTTGGAAACACGTCTAACATGCTAACGCATCTAAAGCGTCACCACCTGAGTTTGAACGTTAACCGGCACGACTAGAAAAAGCAATCTGGTGCAAACTACGATATCATCGTCGTTTAAAAAGAAAGAGCGTTTCCCTGACCATCGCGCTAAAGAAATAACCAATGCCATTGGAGTTGAGTAAAATTGTTTAAGCTGCACTTTAGATATAAGCATGTTTTGTTTACTGCACTTTAACAAAGTGTGAAAGCTAAGTAAGTTCCTACTAAAACTGAATCTGAGCAGGCTTTAAAGCTGACCAGCTGCACTATACTTTTTATTTTATTTGAGTAAAATTGTTTAAGCAGAAATGTATATTTATATTTTTCATTCAAAAAATGTGTTTAAAAAAACAGCAGGATTTTATTTTTCACTTTTATATTTCTATTTTCATTCAAACAATGTGAAAAAGCAGGATTTTATATATATTTGTTTCATTCAAAAATTGTGTAAAAAGAGTTAACTGCTGTGGTGGTACGTTTTAATAAGGTTACCAATAAGTAAAAGATATTTAATAGTTGTCTATTTTTTTCATTACTGTACCAAAAAAAAACCGAACCGTGACTTGTGTACCGAGGTACGTACCGATCCGTGATTTTTGTGTACCGTTACACCCCTACTAATTCCACATTTTAACAGCTCCCAGATACAAAAAATGCCCCCTGGGATCTAAATATATATAAATCAACAGGTGATTTCCTTCTTTTAGTAAAATCCTAAATGACTGAGTTGGGGTTTTCGCCACCTGGACCTTTATGCTCTGCCATTTCTCCTCTAATCATCAGGCTGTAACCTGTGACAGGCTGTTATGATACCACAACTATCACACAGTCACATATATGGAGTTTTTTGTAGAGCAGCTAGCGTCACATAGGTTTACATTACCAAAGGGTTATGACAGAGTCACTTGACAAAGCTGAGAGGAGAGGGAGAGACGCTGTGCTGCAGCCAGAGGAGCCGCTGAATGAGTTCCCTCTGGCTAATAATGTGGTACCTTGATGTAAACACACATTTTTAATATCTGCTGTTGTATTTTTTCTGCTTCCTTCAGATGATTTTGAATCCAAGTTCAACTTCCACCCCATTGAAGATCTTCCACCTCCAGAGGAGTACAGGCATTTCAACAAGGTCTACCCCAGCAAAAACAACAAGGGTACGAGTCCAGTACTGTTGTGTTAGTTCAACAGGACAGCGTAGACGTGATGGAGGAGAACATGCTCAGACTGTTCACACTTTTCAATACATTCACCTTTTCCTGGTCTTGGCTGCTTATGTGTATTTATACATTTCTATACTGCTCTCTGACAGTGTTGTAGTCAGACAAGTTTGGGTTATTTGCCAAGTCAGAAAAAGAGACATGAAGTACTGAAAACACAAAACTGAAACAGAGCAACTAAAGATTAAGAGGGGAAAGTATTTAAAGGTCTAGTGTGTGGGATTCAGGGGATATATTGGCAGCAATGGAATATAATATAATAACTATGTTTTTTGAGTTGTGCTTTCATGTTGTTTACACCAAATTATGAATGTGGCAGCAGAAATCCAGACTCATCAGACCAGGCAATGTTTTTCCAATCTTCTATTGTCCAGTTTTGGTGAGAAAACCCGTGTGAATTGTAGCCTCAGTTTCCTGTTGTTAGCTGACAGGAGTGGCACCTGGTGTGGTCTTCTGCTGCTGTAGCCCATCTGCTTCAAGGTTGGACAAGGTGTTGTTGCTTCAGAGATGCTCTTCTGCACACCTTGGTTGGAACCAGTGCTTATTTGACTTCCTGTTGCCTTTCTATCATCTTGAACCAGTCTGGCCATTCTCCTCTGACCTCTGGCATCAACAAGGCATTTTGGCTCACTGGATATTTTCTCTTTTTGGGACCATCCTCTGTAAACCCTAGAGATGGTTGTGCTGAAAATCCCAGTAAATACTCAGAGCAGCCCGTCTGGCACCAACAACCATGCCACGTTCAAAGTCACTTAAATCACCTTTCTTCATCATTCTAACGCTCCGTTTGAACTTCAGCAGGTCGTCTTCACCATGTCTACATGACTAAATACACTGAGTTGCTGCCACCTGATTGGCTGATTAGGTTTTTGTGTTAATGAGCAGTTTAACAGGTGTACCTAATAAAGTGGCCGGTGTGTGTATTTCCAGCTTTTTGTCGGTCATGTGGAGTTTATAGTTTATTTTTCAGAGTTAATAATCTCCAGCAGTGTGTTTTAAAGTGAGATAACTGACCTGTAGTGACCCCCTCCTCTGTTTCTCCTCCTGCCCTCAGCCATGATGAGAGGAGCTCCTCCAGCGCCGCCGGTGGGGAGGTGAACGGACCTCAGCTCAGGACATGAACTCTCAGTCAGCCGACTCGATGGACGGTCGGCGGGGGGGAGAGAAAGCGAGAGAGAGTGGTGAAGAAGCACTCAAATCACACGACACACTACAACACACACTAACACTAAAACCACCAGCTGGAAGCACAAAGTTAACACTACGACACCACGCAGGTATGACACGACTCGCCGCTCACCTTCTGTCTTTGCACGAGAGAACAAAAAACCACTCGGGGGTCAGAGACAGACTTTCTGACCGTGACCACCTCGACTTCTCTGCTGACTGGACGTAGAGGCTTCTGTTCGACACAAACATATCAGGACCAAACTCCGAACACTTCCAAATCTGTGCATTCCATCTTTTTTTAATGCATAATCATGATGATAATGGTGATTTTCATAATTCTGGTTTGATTTTATGATTTTGGTGTCAGCATTAATTTGTGGGAGGGAAAAAAATTCATCACTATGAATGGAAACTGTCTTTGAATTTATGTTTTCAGCAGGTGAATTCCCACAGTACTGATAATGCCATGAATGTGGGGGCTAAGTGACGGTTATTATTGTTGTTATTGTTGTTATGTTTTGTCTTAAATAGCCATTCCAGCAGTGCCAGGTGAGGGTGCGTTTGAATCAGCTCTCTGTGTCAGTGTGCCAAAAGCGGGTGACAAACTGCACAGGACAGTTTCCATACATGTTTTACATATGATTGAAATTGTCACACATTTACCGGACAGATCGCCAAGTCATGACGGAAGCCTTGCCTGGTTGTTTATTTTTACATTTGGAGAGGGACTCTTTCTTGCTTTGTTTTTTTGTGCCCCCTTCTTTCCTTTATTCGGGGGGTGTTTATATTTCCATCTTCAGGCGATGTTGCACAGCAGCGTAACTGCTAAACCGAGACACTGTGCATGATGCTTATATATGCACGTATGACAACAGAAGACCCTGGGATCAGGATTCATGTTGATGTGACAAAAATCAAAAAGAGGGTTTACTCCTAATTGTTCCTTGATGTGTCTGACAAACTGTGGCTCACATAGTCAGCATCCATCTCCAAACACACTGTGAGAGACCAACACTAAATTATTATTTCCTTACTGGACCAAGTGCGTATGATTCGGCTGCATGTTTCTGGAGGTGTTTATAAGGGATCATTCTTCAACTTTCTGTCCAGGGGAAGTCGGTCTGAAAGCTCAGCTCTTTTCTGAATCATCACCATCATTTTACTTTTGCTGCTGGTGACCCTTTTTTGTAGGCGGGCCGTACGGCCAGAGAAGGAGGACATGTTGTTTAATTGCTATGCAAGGAGCAGTTTGTACAGATTGTAGTAGGTAGCAGCTAACCAAAAAAAAGAAACACATAAGTGCCAGAGAAATGTTGACGCAGATGGAGGTTCTTTACTTTTCTTGACTTTAAAACACTAATGACATCATATTCAAACTGAACAAAAAGAAATGCTGAGATTCTCAGTGATGCAGCGCCCCCTGCTGGTCTTTGCCTTACACAAATCTGTCTCATCGGTACCAGTGCTTTTTATTTTTGTTTTGATCTTCAAAGGGGGTAAGATGATGACGATAACGTAAATAAGAAACAAGTTTATTTGAAAATGCAATAAATATTGTATATTTACATTAAGGAATATGGTAATCATAGTTATTGATCTATTTTTATGTTGTAAAAAGCTTGTAATATAGGAAAGATAAATGATTATAACAACGTTCCAGTCGGTGAGCTTTGGTCTGATAGACTCTCTGTAGCACTTCTCTGGATGTTTGGCCATAAGGGTGAATGAGCTGAATGGATGTGTGTGAGGGTTTTGCCAACAACGAGCCAACATTTTGGGGATCCTGTCTCTGTGAATCCATTTGGCAGGTACTGTAGTGAAGGTGGGTGTGGGTGACGGATGATGACAACACAAAACGACTACACTCTGTCCTGGATGTATGTTCACCTTGTCACACAGGTGACCCGACACGCTGGTGTCTCCTCCTGTTCTCACCTTGTCCACTCTAAGAGCAAAAACCCTGTGGTCATTTCATGTTAATCAACCATGTTTTTATCATTTGAAATAATTTCAAATAAATATGGGGAAAAAGGGTATCTGAGGCACCGTGTGTTTTTTGTCTACACCTGGTATTATGTCTGCGTTTTAATGAGTCTGTGTCATTAACTGATTGTAGAAGGCATTCATACATGTATTTAATGTATATTTGTATTGGGACAAGTATGTAGCACACACAACTGCCACACACTACATCATTTAAAGCCTAAGCTAATGTGCAATGCCCATTCCTAGCTGGGCCTTGAGATTCAAAAGACTCAGCAACAAGAATGCAGGTAACAGTGCAAAGTACAAACAACAATCGAAATACAGACAGAACAATACAAGACACAAACAGCAATACATAATTATCACCATAAAATAAGAAGTACCAAGTTATTCATGACCGCGTAACTGATTCCTCTTCAAAAACCATTTCAGTTTGAGTTTAAAGTGATCGAAATAAGGACCCAGTTTGTGTTCTGTAGGTAAAAAATTCCACGGACAGAAAAAACTGTTTGTCCAAATGAGGATTTACACGGGAGAACCTTACAACTCCCACTGGCTGCTCCACATGTTACTGAGAAGCTCTAAGTGGAACCACAAGGTCACTGAGCACCTGAGGAGCCTGATTATTAAGGCATTTATGGATCAGTTTGAAATGATCAAAATTTAGTATATTTAGTTTCTGAAGAACATGGATGATGTGCTCTTATTGGTTTCCTGTCCAAACTTTTAATTGCTCGCTTATATATCACCATAAGAGGCTTAGTTATTGTAGATGCTGCTTGTGACCAAGAGGTTACACGTTGCATGAAACTGTTCGCAGCGTGAAATGGGAGACGGTCTCCGATAAATCTAAATGTTTGTAAGTTTGCTTTTGCAGCCCTGCTCACCATCTTAACATGCTTCTCGAATGTTTGCTGTGAATCTAATATGAGGCCGAGGTATTTCACCTCTGAGACCTGTTCGATATGCTGTCTGTGAATATTTAGATTTAACACATTCTGTTGATGAGTGAGCCCTGGCAGAAAAGCAAACTGACACTGTTTTCTTAACATTAAGTGTGAGATGTGACTTTTCAGACCATGCTGCTAAGGACTGTAGGTGACATATCAGCTGTTTGGAAGCTGCCAGAGCAGTTTTTGCAGAAACATGTATGACTGTATCGTCTGCGTACATCTGAAAACCAGCACTGTCATAATCCTTTACTGAAGTAAAGTAGAAATAGTACACTGTAAAAGTGCTCCACAAGTCTAGTAAAGTCTTCAAAGCAGAATTTCATGAACATGTAACCTATCTGGTACTCACTCTATGGCCTGGGTCTTCAGCAGGGGGTCTGCAACCTCATAAGGCAGTGGCTCCCAACTGGTCCGGCCACAGGGTCCAGATATCTCCTGAGTCATTAGTTAAAGGTCCACACAGTTTAATATATTCCGAGTCATACTTGCATTTCACCACGCCATGGAGTTAGTTCTTTGTCTGTGCAGAAAAAGGCTCTTAAAAATAAAGTGTGTGGTCTCTTTTTTTACAGACTTGACACGTTTGCGAGTCACTTGCGGTCCATTCAAAATGGACCTGCGACATTCCAGTTGGGAACCACTGTCAAAGTGTGTACTCTAAGTATGTATTTTAAAGTGTGATGGTTGATTGTAAAGGTTGCTGACCCCTGAACTAAGTTTTTTTTTTTTTTTTTTGGCCTGATAAACGTAGAAAACCCTTCTCTTGAAGGGTGAGTGTGAGTAAACTTTTAAGAAATAAAACAGTTTGAGGAAATGTGTGCTGTAAACATTATTAATTAAAAAGAAAATACTTAAAGTATGTAATGTTGTCAGTCAGATTAATTTGAGTGTTGGAGAGGAATTTACTTAAGTGAAAGTACCAGTACAACAGCTTAAAAAAACTTCCCTACAAGTAAAAGTCCTTCGATTACAAACTTAAGTAAAAATAAAAAAACAAATTAACAAACTTAAGCTAAAGAATCAAAAATAAAAGTACTTGTTCTGAAATAAAATGTCCTCTGGGCCTGATATATCACTATATAGGCTATATTATTAGAATGTGTAGGCAGTATTATACTGTTGTGTTTGGCTGGGGTTTATTTGAACTACTTTATTTATGTTAGAGATCACTGGTTTAATTTTAAGTATTGTATTTTGAAGCTTATTTTATTTTTTGTTTACATAAAAACTTAAGTGCAGTTTAAACACAAGTATGGTGCAGTAAAGTACAATATTTCCCTCTGAAATGTAGCAGAGTAGTTGAGAAATACTCAAGTACAAGTTCCTTTTAACTGTAGTACTTTACAGTATTGAGCAATGTACTTAGTTACATTCCACTACCTCTTAACTGTTAATGTGAAGTTAAGAGGAAGTTTAAGGTTAAAAGGATAACACTATATGTTTTTTATTTTTTATTTTTTCAAACTCTTTGAGGTCATTTATAAGTTCCATTTAGTTTCTGGTCTTCAAGTAATGTCTGTTCTTTCTTTTTGCAGTGTAAAATGTGATGATTGTCACTGTTTAAACTCCAGTTGCATTAATATGAATGAACGTGGAGGTACTGTCACTTTAAGAGCCGAACAGGAAATGTGTCGCGCCAAAAAGGCCCCTGGGACGCTGAGAATTGGCGGGAAACTGAAAGGGAGGGGCCAATCAGAATGTGAGAAACTCTGCAGCATGAGGACTTGTGTCAAGGTTTCAGAGCAGGTAAATATATAATTATACCTTTATTTTAAATTACTAATGCAGCAGGGTTTGACTGAGCTTTGTGGCTATATTACTGGACAGGATGCAGCAGTTAGTTTAAGTATAATTAATATTTATTCAATTAAATGTGCCTTATTAAGCTTCATACAAGGAGGGCTCATATATTTATTTCATGCAGGAAATATTTTTATGTGGTTCATCATGTGCAAAACCTGTGATGAAGAAGGCCGTGCAGCAGTGATAAAACGCTCAAATACCAGATATATTTTTAAATAAGTGAGTATTTAAGTGCATTGCAGTTGCTGAAGTCACATTTTGGGGGGAAATAGATTGGCAATGTAAAGTTTTACATTTTTACAGCAAACAATTGCCAAATTGGAGGACCTGCAAAAGACTCATAGACCACTTATGTGAACTTTGTGATCATAGATCATAATAATACAGAACTTTGATTATCCTGTGAAAATACAGGCAGTTACCAGTTTATTAGGTACACCCAGCTAATATATATATTTGGGTTGTTTTATGCTTCTGTGCTCTAATCCATAAGATTCTGAGTCATGAAAAGTTTTGGCTCCCTCTGCTGGGATGTAGGCCTACTTGTTGTGTTGGTTGAGGTCACCTATAATTAACGCCACCTGTGTTTGTTTGGGACATTTCCAGTAAACACAATGAAGAGGGGCATCTTGGCAATTATAAAAATGTAGACTGGAATGCTGTCCCGATCTTCATTTATAACGACTTACATTAAGGATTCAGCACTCAGTCTTAAAGGTTTAATTGTGATTGAGCACATTCTGTTTTAGGAATCCTCACATCCAACTTACCAGATGTCTTTGTTTTGCTAAATACTTCAATAACTAAAACAGTCCAATGTTAATATACAATGGGCTTTGTATAGTTAATGATCTGTGATATGAATTTATTTAGTCTGACTACTAAACATTACTGTAACCCTACACTTGCTCCGTAGCTTTCTCTATAAGCAGGCTACAATTTACCATCATTATACCTTCTTTAATTCACACCAAAATACGGCGAACAGTGTACATCCAAAGACTCTGTTACACTTAAAGATGCACAATACTGGATGTTTAGCCAATATCCAATATGCTGATATGTAACAACTTTTTTGACTGATACCAATACAAATATTTTTATATCTATTTCCACTTTTTCCCCTCCTAAGTTTATTGATCGTCAAGTCTCTTCTGCAGTGGGATTAACATCATGTCATTCTGCATACTCTTGTCATGACGGCCCACCAGCAGATGGAGACATGAAATACAACACTTCTCAATGTATGTGATATTCATTCATTGTGCAAAGTAAGAAAAAGCATGTTGGCCCATTCTAATAGTTCATTTTAATGCCAATATTGGCCGATACAGATGACGTGCCTATATTAACGTGCATCCCTGTCCGCCACAAAACAATGTCAGGTGTGAACTATAGTTACTCTCACTCTCACTTAAGGCTAAGGGGACATTAAGTAGCAACTTAAAGGCACACATGGAAATATATAGATAAAATGATAGCTCACATGCCGTTAATTATAAAGGGATAATTACTGTATGTAACAATACAAATTAATTCTGTGAGTCCAAAATAACAATGTGGAATTATTTCTACTGAAATATTCATCTTTCAACAATATTCTGCTGCAACATGAATTCGTACAATGAGTTATTTATAAATACCTTAAAAATATAATGTGCAGAGTAACTACAGTTACAGTCCTCCTTGGCTACAAGTAGAAATGTCCTCATTTAAATCAACCTCTTAGAAAGCAGGTGTGTAATACAAAGAAACAATCCCACAACATGAATATATGCCAGATTTTGTAACTCAGCACACATTTTACACTTTCTGTCAGCATAACCACCTCAGCATAGTCTAAAGAAGTACTCGACCTGATGTATGCCCAAGTAACAGTGAAACCTGCCTGTACAGGTGAGTCTTCAGCTGCTGTTTGAAAGTGCTCTAGGATGGGACTGAACGCAGGGCTTGGGGGAAGGCATTCCAGAGCCTTGGGCCACCACCCCAAATGCTCGGTCCCCTTTGGTCTTTAGTCTGGTCCTGGGGACCACCAGAAACTACTGGTTGGCTGTTCGTAGTGATCGGCTGGAGGAATGTGGGAGGATGAGATCAGATATGTAGGAGGGGGCATGACCCTGGAGGGCTCTGTGGGTAATTAACATGAGCCAGTGCAGAGCAGCAAAAAAAAGGCAGAGCCCCTGACAAGGATGTGAGTGAAGGGGCTGATTTCACTGATGTGCCCACATCATTTGCCACAGGGTTTGCCCTGCTGGTGACAGGGGCAGTTGGCAAAGTCCCTTTGCAGGCTTTTAGTCTATTATGGTGAACACTCCATGCCCATGACCGTGCATTCCTTGTCTCCATGATCTCATAGGTTACACCAGAGCATCCGATGATGCTGTTTGGTTGCAGCAGACTGTTGAACTGCATCCTTAAAAGCACTGACAAATGTGTAGCAGGGTCCTGGGCATAAGCTGCTGGTGTGCCCAGTGTAGCAGAGGTCACTGCAGGTCAACAGTTCAACATGACATCTGAGGCCTGTACTACGAAGCAGGATTTGGAGTTAGTGAGGTAACTTCAGGGTTAACTCTGGGTTTTCAGTACTACGAAGCCAGTTTTCTTTTTACTGGGATAAATCCCAGAGGCAGCTTATGCTGAACAGTTAACCTGCTCTGGAGCAACTTCAGGGTATCAGATCACAGCCTGTCAACACCCCGACCTCTGACCGATCAGATCACTGAGGAAGAATGAATCCATGAATGAAAGTCCAGAGTCTCGGATAAAAAAGAGGAGCCTGTATGCTGTTATAGGTCAGAAGAACATTTAATATTTCCACTGGTTTTAAAACAGAGCTTCTAACAAACACAGAAATCGTTTACACACTAAACACATGATTTTAGCAGAAGTTTGTTTGAATCCTCAGTGATGGCTGACAGTGCTGCAACTTTTACACTCTGATTCATCACTGCAGCTCAACATAACATGAGACACCTGTGTGATGAGAACTGGGATAAAACACATCATATTTTGTCAGTAAAATAATCCACACACTGTTAATCAGCTCCTGTTATTATAAATGTAACATGACAGTCAGACAGACCTCATCAGTCATTAACTACTCTTCCACTCTTTACTTCAGCAGCAGAAACAGTCTGGTGTTACTTTAACGTGTTTATGTGACATATTCAGAGGAGTTTTGTCATCATCCAACTAAACAGCAAAACATATTCTGTACTAATGTCACAGAGGCCCATAGCGATAGCTCAGTGATACCTGCACGTATTTTAAGAGTCGGACAACGATGAATTTTTGGATGGTGCTTTCAATGTGTCTAGATCTTCTGTTTTCAGATTACAGTTTGTCGTTTATATCCTGCGCCACTGACATTTTACTGTCTCATCAACAATTCACTGTCACTACCTTTTCATCTTATCTCATATCAAGCAGCCTACTTAATTCATGGCTCTGATGATGACGCTCGCAATTGACAACCCCGCTTCTTTTACATGAACACGCTCGTGGCTGGATAGGAAAACCTATCCAGTGTGAACTAGTTGATAACCAGCTTCATAGTACCGGTTATCCAGACGGCAGGGGCGGATCTAGAAAAATATTTATGGGGTGGCAAGAGGGGGGCAGGAATTTTTGAGGGGTGGCAACATATGCCAGACGTATATATACTGAATTTAATCACAGTTATCACAGTTTGATGAGAAATAGTATGTTCACACTACATAAGGGCACGGGCTGCCATTTACAAACTCATACAGACAAACTTAATCTCATGCAATCAGTGTCTTGCATTTGAGGTTTCATGTGAAACAGTTCATATTAGGAATAAGTGTTGAAGGAGGTTCAACAAACTCTGAGTCTAACCCTGAACTCTGAGTTGATTTACCCTGAGATGGGAAACTCTGAGTTACCGGTTCCAGAACAGCTGATTTGAGTTAGTTCAGTCAACTCTGAGTATGTTCACTCTGAGTTAAGCAGACAATAAAAAGCCATCATCAATGGAGCTCCGACTCCACGATTCACCATGGCAACAGGTAAATAAAAGATAACGCCTCCATTTTAACCCAGTGGATGTAGAGATATTAATGCATGTGTAGCAGACGGTGCACGTTTATCTTTAAAAGAAGAGCCTGAGTCAGAGCGAGGAAAGTGTCAATAAGTTAACCATAAAGTTAATAAAAAAGTTTATTCATCATTTATCAGACTTTCATTTCCTTAATGAAGATAAAGTGGTGGAATCTGACTGTGTATCAGGCCATAGATACATTACATTATATTAATAATACATAATAATATATTTGTTCAGATTTAATCTGATGGGGAAAAACACAGGAGGCAGAAGATTTAAAACATATAGGCTAGGCTATAGATCAAAGACATAAAGACATGACTGTAAACTCACAGTCTGACCCAGTAATAATATGTTTGGTGATTTGCACTTGAAAAGACGTTGAGGTTAAAATACAGTAGATTTGAAAATGCTGGACATCTATTTGTATCTTGACTCAACAGCATTCAGTGACCCCTTTCTGCTCGTGCTGCTTTTCATTGCAGTCGGACATTGGAGCTTCGCGCTCGTAAAAAGGCAAATTGGCCATAACTTTTCTTTGAATTCGTTGCTGCCAACTGGGGTGGCAGCAGGGGTGGCATGGCTTTCTTTTAGGGTGGCATTTTCCACCCTATGTCACCCCGGTAGATCCGTCCATGCAAGTTTGTAGTCTCCATGAACAGGAAGAAAGGGGGAAATCCTACACACACGTTGCTTTCACAACAAACACGGCTTCTCATGTTACCACGTGTTACACATGTAGAAAACTTAACGCGGTCTTTCACGATGAATCGTTCATCGTTCAAACATTGATCAGCAGGCTGGTTATGTATTATCATTCATTAGGTGCTTTGTGTTAACCGCTTATGGTTAAATGTAGCGGTGACGGTCCACATGCTGTAATTTGGCGCGCTTGCTTGCAGGAAGTCAGTCAGTAGCGCGCAGCTGGAACTGTTGGGTTTGTGGTTGAACAAACGCAGCTGACCAGCGAGAGCTTCATCTTGTTCTAATTAACTGTCTTTTACCGTACTGCTTTAACAATGATCGTGACACTGGTGACTGTGACTGTACTGAGTATTTTACCGCCTGCTGCAGGTGAGTTGAACTGTAATATCACTCCACTGTCTGTGTGTCTGTGTATGTATGTGTGTGTGTGTGTGTGTTTGTGTGTGCTCTGACCGCTTCTGCAGAGGCTGTGATACATTCGGCTGTTTTCTGACAGGGTTTACATTTAGTTTTGTTTTATCCTGTGTCGTGCCCACATGACTGAAGTGGCATCTTCATCTACTGGCAGGCTTTGAGTCGTTTCGTCTCTGCGACTGGAAACAGTGTTGTTTAGGGCAGACCGGGGACTGTTGTAACAAATACTGCTTTTGATGTCATCACACCTTTTTAACTATTAGGTTATGTGCCCCCACGTGCAGTGACAGTAACAGCAAATGGAGTATGGGAAGCATTTTATCAACGTAATGCGGCATCTCCATTAGTGTACATTTGTCTGACGCTCTGCTTCTGTCAGCAGCAGGGCAAAATAAAACTCACGTACTCCAGCGCTCGTGGAAAAACCCCTGTGTGGTCATGAAAAGTTGTCTCAAAGGCATGGAAATGTATCAGTAAGAATGTGTGTGTGGACCCTGTTCTTATTTATAAAAGAGACTTCAAAATATGGGGGTAATGACTATAGTATTATTTATTCAATATGTTATGATACGAGGGTAGGTAGCACTAGATCAGGGCTGCCCAATTTGGGGCCCGCGGGCCAAAGTTGGCCCGCGACCGATTAGTTTTGGCCCGCGGCCCATGCTCAAATTTTCAATAATTAAATAATTATTATTTTCCCGCTGCCAGCAGTCGGAATATCTCTTTAAATATTTATTTATTGTTGCACTTCCTCTACTGACCACAAATCAGCATTGTGTTACATTGAGGGTAGGGTGGCGCTGTTTAGCTCCAGTCAGCTCAAATCATGTCTCCCACTGAAAGGCATTCTGCATGTAATATGCACTGAGGATTGTATACCTAAAAATGATTGTTCAAGGCAGTGATGAATGTAGCATTTTTGTCCCATGAGACCATTTTGTGTTTCATGTTACTCATTGCACCAAATGTATTTCTATGAAAACAGTATTGTTTCAAGCACTGAAGAATGTATTGGAGGCCTAGGCGTGAAATGTCTGGCACTTTGGAGCATGTTCTGCTCTGTATGGTTAATGTTTCAGCTGAAATTAATGTAAACACAGTTCAGTGATTTACAAGAAAAGGCTAAAAAGCTAAAGCTGTTGTTCAATTATAATCCTATTTGAAAATAATTGTTCAAGACAGTGGAGACTGTAATATATTGGTCTTGTAGGGACATGTTGTGTCCCATGTTTTTAGAGACATAGGCCTGGTACTTATTATTTTTCTGCTTTCAATAAACAGAAATGTTATTCATTTTCTAAATTAATTTGTATGACTGTTTATTTTGCATAGTTATATCATAGTCATTTAATAAAATGCACTGCAACATGAATGTTTAGTTTTGGCCCGTGACCCTCCACCCTGATTCATTTTTGGCCCTCCACTGAGAAGTATTTGGGCACCCCTGCACTAGATAGTTTACCATCTCATCCAACTTTGATGTGGGTGTGGCACCTAGGCTATAGGCTACTGCTACTATAGGCTGCTATTGGTGGCTCATTTGTGTTTCAGTCAGATTTGTGCTTATGTTCAAAACTTTCACTACATTGAAAACATTTCACATATCTGTGTTCTCTGAGAAGTCGAGAGTGAAGTTAGGCTATATTTGAGAAACAGCTGTGATACTGTAGCGACCCTTATCTTGTTTGCTGGTTCTTTATTCCTTTTAATTCAAGATCTTTTTAATTGAAGTTTTTTCAATATAGCAAAGGTGCAGTGCTGAATAGTCATTACAGAGACATGAAATGAGCATGGGCATACATCAATCACAGCATGCACCAATGTACCCAAATAGACATGAAGTGAATGGGTAGAGATTAAGATGCAGGGTGGTCAGAGATGTACA